CTCCTCCGGGCATCTCCCATATCCCCCCCCTTTCTCCTGCCTCCTTCTCAGCCATCCCTCAACCTACATTTTACCTGCCCCCCCTCAGCTATTCTTATTACTTACTTCATTTACGCCCTGCCCTTCTCCATAACGGAGGCCCAACGCAGTTCACATCGTTCCCCTCTGCTCCGTTTTATCTTCACCACAGCCCTGTGAGGCAGGTGAGGCTGAGAGCGTGTGACTGGCCCAAGGTCACCTAGTGAGCTTCCATGGCAGACGGGTGTGATTTGAACCTGGGTCTCCCAGATCCTGGCCTGAAACCCTCCAACCACTGCACCACACTGGCTTTTGTGGGGTGCCTGCTGTTAACACTAGCAAGAACCTCTGCCTAGGTGAACTGTGCAAGTTGTGTAGTAGCAAGTCATCCAGTGGCTGCTGTTGCACCTGGTACTGATGAGGCCTCTCTCATCAGCCCGTTTGGTGTAGTGGTGCAGAGTGCGGACTCTAATCTGGGAGAACCGGGTTTGATTCCCCACTCCTCCACATGCAGCTGCTGGTGTGACCTTGGGTCAGTTACAAGTTCTCTCAGAGCTGTTCTCGAAAGAGCTCTTTCAGCCCCACCTACCTCACGGAGTATCTGTTGTGGGAAGGAAAAGGAGATTGTAAGACACTCTGAGACTCCTTCAGGTAGTGAAGGGTGGGGTATAAATCCAATCTCCTCAAAGATCAAAACAGCCTTTCCTTGCCTTTTACTGACATAAGCAAAATCTGGAAAGCGGGGAGGGTGGGGTATAAATATCATAAAATAAATAAAATAATAAATATTTTTGTGGTTGCCTAACAACAATTTAGGATCTTCTTTTTCTTAAAGCTACAGGAGCTCCTTTTATCTCTTGGTTTTTTTCAACCCCCAATGTATTTTTTTAGATTTCAGATTTTTCTGCAAAGCTGGGGCATTTTTCAGGCTTGTAAAAAGATCTGTCTTGTCTGTTCATGGCTCCAGTCTCTGGATTTAAGTATGCACAAATTTGGCCATATATTGATGATTTTAACTCCAACTCGATTAAAAGTCATGACTTTTAATCAAGTTGGAGTTAAAACCATCATGTTATAAGTTATAAGTATTATAAGTTTTACAAGACTATGCCATGTTCTTTGACTCCTTCAATTTATTAATTAAAACTGTATTAATAATGGAATAGTACATCTTTTCAGAAAACAGCACAGATGACTCCATGTTCTAAAAACCCAAATAGAAAAAAAGAAGGCACCGTTACCTTATGTTGACAGCCTGACCAATGTTTGTCATACAGGAAGTCATGATGTCTGTAGTAAGACTTTCTGCAAAGCTGATTCCATCGTGGCCAATTCCACTATCAGCTGCCAAACTTGTGTTGCTAAGCTGCCTCTCTGCTTTGTCAAAACTGGTAGCAATCACTTTTTCAGCAAATACTGCCTTTTCATCCATATTTATATGAATTTTAGGAATATCAAGGTGAAGAAAGTGAGATTTTTGACAGCTGCCACTTAGTCTTGAGTATGAAATCTGTCCACTTTTGGAATGAAGCTCTTGTCCAGGGAGGTACAAAGATGGGCTTCCAGCACAATACTGATGCTCCTTCATACAGCAGTATCTGCAAGCAGTTGCAGAAAATGGAGACAGCTTTTCTGCATATGTTGACCTTTCTCCACTAGTCCAGTTTCCAGTAGTTTGGAGAGCAGCAGATTCCAAGCTTACTTCTAAAGTGTCATCAACTATCTTCCTAGCATATTGTTCTATGGTGTGAATAATGCTATCTCTGTAAGCACATTCATTTAAACTGCCTGTGCTATGATACAGTTTTTGTTTGCAACATAAAGGAGACCGGGTTTTAGAGAATGTCTTGAGATCATCTGTGACTGCACCGACTTGGGTTTTTTTATACAAACAAGAATCAGTTAAGGATTTTGGCAAGCAAACAGATGACATTTTAAATTTTCTTCTGACATCAGAGGTTATGCTACAGGCCAGGGATTCTGAGAAACTTAATAACTTCGGATATTCAGTTCTCCCTGTGCTGCATTTGCTTTCAGATGCTCGTTTTTCAAAATGATGTATATTTTTTCTTTTCTGTTTCCTTGCTTCCTTGTTTACTAGCTCAAATGGATCAAGTATATTGTTTAACTGCAAATTCTGATCAGGAGCGACTTGTCTATTATACTTCATTTTAAGTTTACGGGCAGCTTGCTGCATACCAGATTTTATAGATCTGTAAACAAGTCTACTGGCAAATTGTTCCATTATTAAGTCACTGTGACCACCTTCTCTTTTCAGAATCCGAATAATGTGATCTGCATACTCATCTGTTACACTTTCACAACTTGGAAATTTGGTGGTCAAGCCAGGAGCTTCTGAACTCTGGGGTAAAGAAAGTACAGAATAATCTGTGTCTTTCGACTGCTGGTCCGCCAAGAGAAACTTTTTGCCTTTTGACCAACATTCATTACAGTTTCTCTTAAGATGAAGATGGTCAGCCTGACGATTCACTTGCTTCAGCCTCAAACGTTTGCAATGCCTTGACTGTACTGCTTTCTTCGCTTCACTAACGACCTTGCCTGCCACATCACTTGCATAAATCCACAAGGAACGTACATTTTTTCCTGGAACGTTCATGCATGCAGCAGACCCAGATCGTTTGCTGTCCACATTTAGCTGGAAATTATTTCTTGTTTCAACTGTTCCATTCTCTAAATGTGAGGCAGCCCTTTCAGTGGCTGTGGAAACGATACGCGTGGCCAGATGGTCTGCATACGCTAGTGTCCTAATCGATGCTCTAACTTTTTCAGCCAGAGCTTCAATAGACTCGTCTTCACTGCTTTCAACTTCTTCAGAAAGAGACCGCATCAGTTTCAGCATGAACTCTTCCTTTTCTAAGAAATAATGTTCATTTTCATACGCACCATCCACTTCTGATCTGTAAGGTGTAGAAGGAGGAGTAGCAGGAGCAAACTGTTTTGCTAGTTCACCTTTAAGCTGCTTTGTTAGGTTTCTTAAATTCCACTCAGAACTAGCCGGAGAGGGTGATAAAGGTGTTGGGGGTGGTGTGTCTGGGACCACACCCAGAGTTCCCTCTCTCATCCTTGATCTATGTTCCATATGAAATGTATCCTCACAGTTAGGAATCACAGAAGGAAGGGTAAAAATGCTTTCTTGACAGCACACAGAGCACCCTGCTGCTGTGCGCGTGTCATGTGTTCCCAGTGGATTACCTGACGGTCTCGCTGAACACCTTTCTGTCTCTGGAAACTCATCAGCAGGCTTTACAAAAGTCCCAGAACAAAAAGGGCTTGTGCATGTTGAAAACCTGCAACCAACATGCCACTTCTTTTCTTGAAGACAGTCCTCAGACCCTGAAAGCAAATGCCTATTACAGTAATCTGGAGTTACATGAAATGTAGACAAGCTATTTAGGGGCATCTGCTGCTGTCCCACAATTACTGGAGCACTGTTCTTCTTCTTCCCAGGCTGACTTGTTGTACCATGCAATTCTGCTTTACTGTTTTCTTTATTACTTCCTAATCCTACACAATATGCCAGTTTCTCACTTGTAGCAGAACATGGAGACTTAGTTTCTTCTACAGACTGCTTTACCGGTCGCTTGGCCAAGTAATTAGCAAATACATTCCTACATGTGTCTTCGCCAATGCACTGTAAATATGGCATTTTCTCAGTTCTTAAGATATCTGTATAATGCTCAGATGTTTTAGAAACCTTTGAAGAAGTTACTGCTTCGTAAGCCTCAGTTACTATCATATCTACCATTGTTCCAGAAAAACCACTGATGGCTGGCATCCTACTTAAGTGAGAAATGTTGCCGATTTCAGAATTATTTGCTTGTTTGCCGTCACCTTGCTTACATAAAATGTGAGTATCACATGCACTACCTGGACTGTTACCTGATGTCAGATAAATACTTCTTAAAGATGTCACTTCCTCTTGTCTCTTTTTTGTTCCATAATTCAATTCTGCAGAGTCTTTACACATTTTCCCGTGGCCATTTGTTGCTGAATGGTTCTTCATCTTTGCATTATCAGTTAAAATCTGGTTCTGACAGAGGGCACTTCCAGCTACGGGCACTGGAACGGAACTGGCAATGCCAGAAGTGTAGAACAAGGCTGTATGGATGGTATATTCCTCTCTGAATTCCTGTACTGGATTCAAGGCTACTGGTGGTACTTTATCATGGAAGTCTGAGTAAGCACTGGAGGTCTGTGTGGATTCCCAAATACTTTCAGAACTAACATATTTTATGTTGTTCATGGAAACACTAATTGCTGCTTGAGTTGTAAAGGTCACATCAACCTGGGATAACTCAATGAAAGCCTCCTGAATAACTGAATCAGATAAATCATCAGCATAGGACTGTACGACTTTGCCGTCATAGTGGGAGGACCCGTTCTGAGAAGCAGCTGGTGTTGAGGGGTGAGAAAACTGGCACACTTCCATGATCCCCTCAAAAACGAGCTCCTCTGCAAGGTCAGCTGCAAATTTTGCAACTGTGTTGGTAAACAGTTGTTGCTTCACAGACTGCAGTTCTTTTAAAGCACCTGCTACTGCTTCGCTCACCAAAAACCCTGCTAGCCCACCAATGGCTTTCTGCTTCAGTGAAAAGGCTCGTTGCCTACTAATCTCATAAAAAGCCATCTGAAAGGCCGAAGAAGTCAGCTTGGCAGCCAGGTGACAGAGGACATTAGTACACGAAGAAACACCCTTTTGAAGGTCTTTAAAAGCATGACCAAAACTCTTTTCAACAAGCTCTGATGCAAATTTCTGGATGTGGTCTTTAATCACTAGTGCTTTCTGTTTAGATCTGCTTTTCTTATCTAGCCCTTTACTAGAGCAATCTCCTTTGATCTCTGCAACGGGAAATTTTTCTTCTTGTGAGACAATTCTATTATGGTTGGAAAGCTCCCGAGAGAATCTACGTAATGATGAAGCACGAGAATTAAAGACAGAACCTAGAATTTCAAAGGAAACAGTATTTGCAAAATCTGGATATGTATGGTAAAGTAAACTGTGATTTTGACTAACGGCATCTCTACTATCGCCTAGCTGACAAAGGCACTCTGATGAAAGGCAGTTGCTTAATGGACTGAAAGCGGATGATCTGATCGGGCTGAACAAACCTCCACTATCCTCCCCTGACGTTCTCAATGGACGGGGGGAGTCCGGGACATCCAAAAGTTTCTTACTATATGAAGACTCTGGTTTGCGGGGAGTTGGCTTCCTTACATCGGCTGGCAGAGCAGGATGATCAGATTTGAACTTCTGGGGATTCATTGCGGTTGGCGCAGAGCTTGATTTTTTACATGAAATCCCTTTCTCTTGGGCTAAGTGACCTACAGTGGGATCCTGAGACAATTTACAGCCACTTTGCAAAGTCTGCTCTTGTTCATCAAACTGGTCAAAACTATCAAAAAATTCACTCACTTCAGAGTCTGAGTCTTCGACACCACCCTTCATTACTGGGATTTTTGGCAGCTGAAGCTTTGCCTTGAGACTTCTTTGATACCCTTCTTCATCTAAGAAAATAACTGGGCTTGGGCTAGAACATTCTGACTCTGAGGATTCAGCCGGAGAGGAAGAAAACAGTGTTTTAGGTAAAAGGTTAACACTCTGACGAGAAGAATTAGGGGGCCTGAAAAAATCCATCTGTCGCCCAGGATCAGAAGCAGAAGTTGTGACGGAACATCTTACAGAAGAGGGTGATGGTCCTTTAAGTTCCGAGATGCTAAGCAGAAGAGCTGACGGTTTAGGAGGTGGCTTAATAACGATCCTTGGATCAGCCGAGTCTAAGTGAGGAGCAACGGCGGTCTGTGAAGCAGAATCCTGGAGGGGTTTCTCAGGTGTCACTTGGTCTGTGCCACAAGGGGGGGAAAAAAGAGATCAGTGAGCACACAAAATAGTATCTGAATGCAACATACTGCAAAAGGTTTGGATCTGCAGAGGACTTCTGCTGAGACCTTTGCAGATTTCCCATCAGCAGAGTGAGACTTCTCACCGCCCCCTTCTGGCTGAAGTCATAGGACTGCCCAGAATTCTGCTCCCATGGGTTGGGGGACCCCAGGGACAGCACGAGAGGAGATTCAGGAAAAACTGTCCCACCTTCCATCAGCAGGGATTCCCCCAAAATTAAATTAAACATTTCCCGAAATATTTAAGCAATATGAAATTTAGCAATGTGTAACTGGTCAAGTGATTTAGAAGAAGAAAAAAATCTTAATATATTTATAATTCCTTCAGCAGACATGGAAAAATACCAACATTAAAGTTCATGGACGTATATTTATGAAATCACAAGCTGCTGCTTCAGTAAGCAATCAAGACTAACATTACATAAAAATCCATTTGGAAAACGTAATATTTGAATAAGTACAGGAACTGATACTTCATCAGAAGGAGATGTAATAAAATCACACATTTTGAGCTTAAATGTGGCAGCTCTCTATGAGGGGGCAGGACTGAATTATTAATTACTTTGGTCTTATCTGTTTGGCAAGGTAAGAGGAGCTGTGCTGAATCACACCACGGGTCTTTGTATTCATAGAATCAGAGAATGTTAGAGTTGGAAGGGACCTTGCAGGTCATCTAGTCCAACCCCCTGCACTCTGCAGGAGCATAGCCGAAAGATAGCCCCACAACACACCCGAAAGATGGTCGTCCAGCCTCCGCTATAAAAACTCCAGCGAAGGAGCAGCCACCACCTCCCAAGGCAGATGTTCCATTGCTCAACTACTCTTACAATTAGGAAGTTTCTCCTGATATGTAGCCTGTAATGACTCCCTTGTAATTTCCACCCATTAGATCTAGTCTTGCAATCCAGAGCAAGAGAGAATAGATCTGCTCCATCTTCTACATGACAGCCCTCCAAATACTTGAAGACTGCAATCATGTCCCCTCTAAACCTTCTCTTTCCCAGGCTAAACATACCCAACTCTTTCAGCCTTTCCTCCTAAGACTTGGATTCCAACCCTCTCACCATCCTGGTTGCCCTCTTCTGGACATGCTCGACCTTGTCAGCATCCTTCCTAAAATGTGGTGCCCAAAACTGGACACAGGACTCCAGGTGGGGCCTGACCATAGCAGAATAGAGCGGAACTACCACCTCCCGTGATCTGGACACAATGCTTCTGTTAATGCATCCTAAGATTGCATTAGCTTTCTTCGCAGCCACATCGCACTGCAGGCTCACGTTTAGCTTGTAATCAACCAGAACACCCAGATCCCTTTCACATGTGCTGCTGCCAAGCCAAGTCCCTCCCATTCTATGTCTGTGCCTTTGATTTTTTGTCCCTAAGTGTAGGACTTTGCACTTCTCTCTATTGAAATTCATTTTATTTGTCTCCGCTCACTGTTCCAGCCTATCCAGATCATTTTGAATCCTGACTCTGTCTTATTCAGAATTAGCCATCCCACCCAGCTTTGGGTCGAGCATCCTGCTTCAGAGGCTGAACCACCACCAGGGCAGGGGGGCCAAAGCCTCCTCCTGTTGCTGACCCCAGCACCTCTGGAAGGAGTTTGCATGTAGTCATTGTAGCAAATACCACTAATGGATCCATCCTTCACAAATTTGTCTAAAAGCAACTAAATTAGTGGCCATCATCACCACAGCCTGCAGCAGTGAACTTCCCAGGTTAATTACTCTTTGAGTACACAATTATCCTTATTTCTTTCCTTAAGCAAAAATACCAACTTTAAAACTCATACACAGAAATTGTTTTCCTAAAGTAAAAGTTACTTGCAGCACTAAAATCCCTTTTAAATATACACTATTATATTCAAAGCCACAATACTTCAGGAATACTTACCGGGGTTCAACGTCTTTGTTGGCTCATCTCCATCTAAATGCTCCAAAGCGGTCACAAAATCATCCTCAATGGAAGACACTGAATTATTAGTGTCATCATCCTCAGTATGTGGTATGTTTGATATATGCTTTTGCAATGAAGAGGTTTCCACGGCACATCTCATACCAGCAGCACACTTGCTCAGCCAAGTGAACAGGGAATCAACGCGGAGTCTTGGACGGGAAGGAGTCAGTCTCATCACACACAGCATTTGCGAGTGGCAGCTCTTACAGAAAGAGAAATAACGACGTTACAGTCACTCAGCAACGGCAATATACCTGCCATGTGATTCTAAAATCAGCTTCTCACTCTGACCTATCCCAGGACCCAAGGATTACCCAGGATATGGAGTCAAGTTCACTTATCATTTAAACAGAACAAAAAGCCAATTCCCAGAATGCTGAGGGAATCAACCCTAGCAGACATTCATGCTGAAAACAGTGACTTCGCCAAGAGGACACCGTCCGTCTAAAGGTGCTACTCCAGCCAGCCCATACAGCCTAATGCCGTTCGTTTGTAGGATGGGGCAACACACCCACACCGGTCGGCATCTTACACTCAGAATGCCGCATCCCCTTTTGTAAAAGACAAGGCAAAAGGACCAACCATACCTTTATTATGAGTTTTACACGAAGGCATAAACATCTTACCTGTTGATTAAGAACACCACCAGTCTCTAATGGTTTATGTACGTCCTTCAGAAAAATGACTTCATTTTCATTTAAATTGCACAAGTGAAGTGATTTCAGAAGATCCAGGAGTTCCACAGACATGGCTGCACATTCCTAAACCAAGCACAGTACACCCAAGAGTAAAATTAATGCATTCTGTTAGCACAAATTTTAACTCAGATTCAGCCCGATCTTACCAATCTTCTACCCAGACATATTTTCACATTTTGAAACTAGTTCTTATTGACCAGTGTTGTTGTTTTTTAACTGAAAACTACACATTTCTAACTAGAGCTATAATGTGACAAAAAAAACCCTATAAGGCAGCTAGCTATGACTGTAACTATGACTAGGGAATGGAACACTGGACTTCCACTCCTCCTCTTTGGAGGCAGAAGGCCATCCAGGAAAACATGACTCCCCCCAGTGCATCCTGGAAGCCAGGCTCAACAACTGAACTCCCTGTCTCCTCTGTGGTGGGAATCTGCTCCCAGTCTTAGACATGCTGAACCCATCATCCATCTGGTCCTGAACAAGGGGAAGAGCTGCTTTTTTTGTATGCAACACCCCCGAGAATTCTGACCTGGTCTAAACCAAGTTCACTGAAGACCTCATTCCTTCCCTCCGTCATGCTAGTTCCTCCGTTCACCCCATTTTGTCAGACTTTATTGTGACAGCAGCTGATGACACACTAGACAAATGCTCTATAATGAGACACTGCACAGGTGAGAATGTAAAGGGATTACACTTGACCATACAATGGAGTGAGACAAAATGGAACGGACACACTAACAGCGGGAAGGAAGGTCTTCAGTGAGTGGTGCAGACCAGATCAGAGTTCTTGAGGGACTTGGACACAAACAAGAACTGATCTCCTCCCCAATTCAGGAGCAACAGATCCCCTCCCTCCAAAAATGGATGTGGCAGAATTCCATTTTACTCTCAAAGTGAAGGAACATTCAAAGTTGTATTCTCTGAAGAAGAGGGAGTGGATATCCTGGAGAGGAAAGCTGTACTTCCGTTCCAGGTGAGCCAATTTGCTACTGGAACCATCAAAGAACTCCCCAAGGAGACATGGTTCAAAACTTGAAGACAGACAGGCATTTTGTAATGTCAAACAAAAGTGGAAATGGAGACCCACAACACAGCCTTGCAGGTATCCTCTAATGGTGGACTATTGTCAAAAACTGTTGGAGCAGCTGCATGGCTTAGCTCGTTAACTTTTCAGGAGCTGCAGAGACCTGTGCAGGGAGACAATTTCAGAGATTCTCCTGGCTACACTCTCAAAGTCAAAAACTTCACGGAGGTCTGAACAAGTTTAAACAGTGATTTAATAAACGCTGGGAGAATGTGGAAACGGTGTGAAGTGGGAAACCATGAGAAACTGTGTGAAGTGGGCAATCAAAAAATACTGCCCCTTATGGAACCATTTCAGATGAGGGTGGCAAGACAGAAAATTGCAGAGAGGGAACCTAGCATGATAGCCGGTAGATTCTTTATTTGGAGCACTTAAACCCAATCCTTGAGCCAACCATGAATGAAGGCCAAGATGTCCTTCACAGAGATCTGTACTACAGCAACTTTCTTTGCCTGGACCATCTTAGAAAAGCCTTACAAATGTAGCAAGACTGCAGGGAAGTGACCGTCAATGCACCATAATGGAAATCCAAGACTCAAGGACCAGCTCCATGCAATTTCAGGGTAAAGACATGGATTCATTCCCGATCTAGATAATCAGCTAGTTTCTGTGCTGTTATATCCAGGTCCGCTAGAAGCCTCTGGGAAGGACATGCTAACTGGTCTTAGGACCAAGAGCCAAGTCAGGTGTCACACAAATTCTGTTCTTCCCATACTAATCTTTCTGTTTATTCTCAAGAATAATAAAGATGTGAGAGAAAAGGCACAGACTGCACTTTGGGGATTACTGGGAGATCTTCTCCATCCTTTTGGGAATGAACCTTGAGAATTTCAGCCCTGTTCTTGATATCTCTATGGGTTTGTGTTTCCTGTGTCTATAGTGATAAGGATCTAATCCTGTCTCTGGAAAAAGACCCTCAGTGTGTGTTGTCAGTCCAAGAGCCACTTGTGGAGGCTGTCTGTTGCTACAGGTGGAACAGGATTTGGCCATAACTGTTGGCAATACTGTCCTTGTGAAGAAAAGGACATCATTACAAAGGTCTGGCATAGAATGCAGGCCAGAGTACCTCATTTGTGCAGGACAGCTTGCAGCATTTGTGGGGCTGCCACTGAAGGCTGTTCAACCCAGAATCAGGGAGGCAGACTGATTTCTGGAATTATCTGCAGGGAGCAGCTTGCAGCATTTGTGGGGCTGCCACTGAAGGCTGTTCAACCCAGAATCAGGGAGGCAGACTGATTTCTGGAATTATCTGCAGGGAGCATCTAACACACCAATCCCCCCCTTTTTTGGCCCCCCCAGAGGGGATTTTTTAATTGCATTTTTAATTGGACTACAAACTACAACGAAAATAGGGGAAGGGAACTACAATTAAGGAGAAAGAAAAGATAACCACTACTAACTAAAACCCCAAGAATAGGAGATAATTAAAACAGTTTGAGTACAAAGTCTTTCCTTAAATCGCTAATATGTTTTGAACTTAGTCAGACATGCTAAAATATCTTTTTAAATCTTAGATTTAACTGTTAGAGAGAAACTCCAGAGCATCTCATTATTAAAAGCAATACTTTCAAAGGGACAATTCAGAGTCCTTCAGCCTTCATTTTTTCTCATTTATTTATTTATTTATTACTTTGATTTGATATACCGCCCTAAACCCCGTGGGGGTCTCTGGGCGGTTTACATGTGGGGTGCTAGTCACATTGAACCCTAACTAAGGCCACTAAGACATTATCTTGTCTTTTCCTCAGTTTGTAGGGACTTTTAGGGGCAGCCGCCCCCTTTTCAGAAAGAGGGTCCTCTCCGGAAGACCCCAAGTCCAACTCGCCACTGGAGTTGCTGTCCTTCTCTTTATCCACCTCCTCTGGCTCACACAACTGGATTCTCAAAAACTCCTGTGCTTTGGAAACAGAGTCAATCTTTTCTTTTTTGTCCTGAAGTTTGAAGGTTACGCCCTCCGGAATTAACCACCTGTACACAAAAAGAAGACGGGGACGGCAAAGGATGAGATGGTTAGACAGTGTCATCGATGCAACAAACATGAAGTTGAGCAAACTTCAGAGGATGGCGGAAGACCAGAAGGCCTGGCGTGATTTGGTCCATGGGGTCACGAAGAGTCGGACTCGACTGTGCGACTGAACAACAACAACAACACCATTGCAGCATTTGTTTGAAGAAAAAGAATTAAATCTTTATATTTCTTTCTCCTTTGTCTTATTTCAAATGGGATAGCTTTCAAGATCCTGATAGTATTGTCCCCAATTTTCAAGGGTGACCCCGCAGTCGCTCTCAGGATAGAATCCCTCACATGCCTCTTCGAGAATCTCATTACTATTTCCCCAGGCAGATTATTCTTCTTTTTATATATATGGAATTCCTTTGTCTTATTTCAAATGGGATAGCTTTCAAGATCCTGATAGTATTGTCCCCAATTTTCAAGGGTGACCCCACAGTCGCTCTCAGGATAGAATCCCTCACATGCCTCTTCGAGAATCTCATTACTATTTCCCCAGGCAGATTATTCTTCTTTTTATATATATGGAATAAGACCTGTAGGCCACATCCATCTCGCTCATAAGGTATTCCGCCTTCAAATCTGTCACTGGGGCTAATGCTTCGCTCATCATTTGCTTCAGATTCTCGCCTTTGGATTCTGGGACACCTTGGAATCAAAGGACCAGGTTTGCCTTCTCCATTTGTAGCTGTAAAAGTTGTTCTTCTGTAGAGACTTGTTTATTTTCCAGTTTTTGCACCTTTTTCTTCACCTTTTGAGTACTGGCATCAACTTCTTTCACTTTCTCAGCTGTTTGCTCCGTGATTTTAAGAGTCTCATTCAATTGAAGCTGCTGAGTAGTGATGCTTTGATTCATCGTTGACAGCTGTTCCTT